TTTTTTCTTTTTGCTTATGTGGTGCTGAGGAATCGAACCCAGGGCCTCAGGCATGCAAGGCAAGCACTCTACCACTGAGCCGCCTTCCCAGCCCCGAGAACAGTTCTTTTACATGGACTTCTGAACTCCCATGTACAAAGGCTGGGCTCTTGTGTTTTAATCATCTGAAGTTCCCACCTTTAATTACTGTCATGTTTTGGGACATTCAGGTCATAACTGTGACCTGAACCTAGTGTCTAGATCACCAGAACCTAGTGTCTAGTGTTTTTATTAGTGTTGTATAGGTATATGTGACCAGCTGACAATAGATCATATCTTAATAATCTCCTGGCAGGACATAGGCTAGAGAAGTTCTTAGACTGACTTTTTTTATATGTGCCTATATTTTTAAAAAATAGTTTTGTCATCCACATTTTAATATAATATTAGCCAGTGATAAATACTGATTGTCTTCTTTATAGCATCTTCCCATCTGTTTCACTGTGTGTGGGCTCATAGGCAGCATCTCTATTGAAACTGCTCTCACTGTTGACACCTTCAGGAGTTCCCAGACTACTTAGCAAAGAACCCTTTATTACAGCACTGCTGTAAGACCCTGACCTTGCCTTCCTCTCTATACCTCCCATAGAAATCTCTTCTCCCATAAAGCCTTGAATTTTTTTCTTTTGATCGGTCATGGGCTTGATCTCTGGGCCTGGGCACTGTCCCTCAGTTCTTCAGCTCAAGGCTAATGCTCTACCACTTGAGCCACAGAGCCACTTTTGGTTTTGAGTGGTTTATTAAAGATAAGAGTCTCACAGGCTTTCCTGCCAGGGCTGGCTTTGAGCCACGATCCTCAGATCTCAGCCTCCTGAGTAGTTAGGATTACAGGCCTGAGCCACCGGCACCCTGCTCCTTGAATTGTTTAAAGAACATTCATGTACCCCAAGACAATCTTCCCTCTTTTTTGCAGGTGTAGAGGTGAGAAAGAGAATTGCTGGTTATATTTTTAGATTCATACGATTCAATTTGTTTAATGCAAAGTATTTTTGTGAGTGAGAGAGAGAGACGAGAGAGAGAGCAACAGAGACAGACAAAGAGTGAGAGAGACAGAGACAGAGAGTGAGAGAGCACGCTAGCTGGTCCTGGGGCTTAAACTCAGGGCCGGGGTGCTGCCCAGGCTAGTACTCTTGTCACTTCTGGCATTTTTGGTGGTTAATTGGAGACAAGAGAGAGGAGCCTCATGGACTTTTCTGTGTGGGCTGGCTTTGAACCATGATCCTCAGATCTCAACCTCCTGAGTAGCTAGGATTACAAGCATGAGCCATAGGTGCCTAACTCTCAGACTTACCAGTGGAGAAGAGAAAAATCATTTAAAAAGCTTCAGATATAATTCTCATCCTGTTTGTATTGGGCATTACTTTTATTTTTACCAAATCTTGTTTTGTTTCTTTTGACCAGGCAATCTTCATGATTCCTACAAACCCTCCTCCCACATTCCGCAAGCCAGAACTATGGTCAGATAACTTCATGGATTTTGTGAAGCAGTGTCTTGTAAAAAGCCCTGAGCAGAGAGCCACAGCCACTCAGCTCCTACAGGTATGAGTCACCCTGTGAGGCTGCTTCTCTATTTCATTCACAGACTGACCAGAAGATGCTGTTAAGTCACCTGCTTGTAGTAAAGCTATTTGAGCAGGAAAGACATAGAAAATAATCTTAACTCATTGAACAGAATTAATATAAGAAAATATAGGGCCACATGAGATTAGAGAATTAGAGATTAGAGAAAGGAAATGCACATTGATGAGTACTTAGTGTGTGCCAAATGCTCTACACATTTAATCATCATTTGACCCTATGAGAGGTGGTTGTCATGTCCATTTTATAGGTGAGAACTGGTTAGGTTATTCCTCTTAAGAGTTGTTCAGGGCTGGGAAGGTGGCTCAGTAGTAGAGCGCTTGCCTTGCATGCATGAGGCCCTGGGTTCGTTTCCTTAGCTAAGCAAAAAGAAAAAAGCCAGAAGTGGCGCTTTGGCTCAAGTGGTAGAGAGTTAGCCTTGAGCTGAAGAGCTGAGGGACAGCGCCCAGGGCCAGAGTTCAGGCCCCACGACCGGACCTCCCCTCCCCCCCCCAAAAAAAAAGAGTTGTTCATCTGGTAAACAGTAGGGTGTCCAGTGATAGAACCTGAGTCTGGTAGCCTGCTTTCTTTCCTTCTTTCCTTCCCTTCCTCCCTTTTGTCTTACGTATATATCCTAGGCTAGCCTGGAACTTGTGATGCTGAAATTACAGGCATGTACCATCATGCCTGGCAGAAACCTGAGTCTTTCTTAAAGCAGGAATGCTATCGGGTCTATCCAGTTCTGAGAGAGAATTAACATCAGCTCAGGGTAGGAGGAGGCTACATTGGTTTGGAGACACTAGAAGTGTTTCTTTGGAGGAGGAGGGTGTGTCTGTGTCTAGGCCTGGAAGGGTAGATAGGATTTGGCAGATGGTCTGTGTAGCCCAGTGGCTAGAGGCTTGGATTCAAAGGTCATACTACCGTGGTTTGAATTCAGGATCCATGTTAGTTACTTGTCTAAGGTCACAGGCTGTCAGCACCCAGTTAACGTAGAAACTGTTTTTGCATTAAAATACATGATTGGAAATTTATAATGCATCGTATTGAGTAAGTGAGATAGGTAAATATGCAGAGTTTTCTGAACAATATTTTTATTTCATTTAAGAGCCCCTCTCCTAAGTTACCTCCCAAATCACTAGACTCTGCATTTCTCTTGAAAAAAACCGAGTATTATTTATTACAGTGTAAGAGGTAGTCTGAGATAGGTGAAAAATGTGCAGAATTTTCAGGACTGTTTGATATTTTGCAGGATTGCTAGTGTCTCCACCTCTCATCATCTGCCATATGTGTTCTTGAAACATTACAACAGGCTCCCAGTGCATTTAGAAAACTTCCTATAGGAAGTGATACCACTGCTTTGAAAATTTTAGATTAGATGGAAAGAAATGATATAGGCATGCCTTCGAGGACACAGATAAAAATGAGCGAAGCCTGAATGTACATCTGTCTAGAGTGATAGTGAGTGTGGTTTAGCTGTTGCCAAAAATATGAAGAGAAAGTTTATTAATTCAGAGTTTATTAAGTACCTAGTATGTCTCCTGTACTATGTTAAATTATAAATTGTTTCCAGCATTTTTTTCTTTACTGTTTTAGCACCCATTTGTAAAGAGTGCCAAAGGAGTGTCAATATTACGAGACTTAATTAATGAAGCCATGGATGTGAAACTGAAACGCCAGGAAGCCCAGCAGCGGGAAGTGGACCAGGATGATGAAGAAAACTCAGTGAGTGGCAGGCAGGGTTGTGGGGCTCAGTCTATGAATGCTTGTTATCTCATGATTGTCAAGACTGTAAGATGAATAGATGATTCTGGATTAGCTTGCAACTGGAAATTCTTCTTGAAGGACTGTGCCCTAACCTACACCCAGGCTCATAGAAACTTGCTAAACTTGTTTCCCCAGTGCTTCCTAAAACATATTTTACCCTTGCCACCATATCTTTTATTGAAATAATAATAGTAATAATAATAGTAATAATTAATAATAATACTTATTGTTATCTTGCCAGTCCTGGGGCTTGAACTCAGGGCCTGGGCACTGTCCCTGAGCTTTTTGCTCAAGGTAATCATTCTACCACTTGAGCCACAGCACCACTTCCCGCTTTTTCTGCTTATATGGTCTTGAGGGATTGAACCCAGGGCTTCATGCATGTTAGGCAAGCACTCTACCACTAAGCCACATTCCTACCCCATAGCTTTTTTTTGTTGGTCATAGGGCTTGAACTCTGGGCCTGGGTGCTGTCCTGAGCTTTTCAGCTCAAGGCATTGCTCTTCTACTTAGGCTACAGTGCCACTTCCAGTTTTCTGGTCCTTAATTGGAGATAAGAGTCTCATGGCCTTTCCTGCCTGGGTAGGCTTTGAAGCATGATCCTCAGATCTCAGCCTCCTGAGAGCTTTTCAGCTCAAGGCAGTGCTCTTCTACTTAAGCTACAGTGCCACTTCCAGTTTTCTGGTCGTTAATTGGAGATAAGAGTCTCATGGCCTTTCCTGCCTGGGTAGGCTTTGAAGCATGATCCTCAGATCTCAGCCTCCTGAGTAGCTAGGATTACAGGCATGAGCTACTAGTGCCGGACAACTTTTTTTTTTTTTAATTGAAGTTAACTTTTTTTTTGTCTGAGACTGGGACTTGAATTCAGTACCTGATGCTTCTGCTTATTGGCTAGTACTCTACCAACTGAGCCATGCCTCTAACCCCTGAATTCAACTTTATTTGAGACAGGTTTGAGATAGGTTTTCTAAGCCCTTTTGGGTGAATCTAGGATCTATACTCAGATGTATATACTTTATACTTACAGACTCTCACAATCTTGAGATTTCAAGGGTGCTTATGTGAGCTGCTTAGATCTATTTTTGCAAAAAGTCTAATAAGTAAGGGGAGAAGGGACTGGGGTGTAGCTCAGTGGCAAAGCACTTGCCCAGCAAGTGCAGCGTCCTGGCTTCAGTTCCCATTACCAAAAAGGAAAAGACAAAAAATAAAATAAAGAAATGAGAAGGGTGTTAAAAGAGGTTCCTTTAAGGTTAAATATCTCTTCCCACTTGGGTGAGTTGTGATTTTCTTTGGATAAATAAGGATTTTCATTTCTATTAACCTGAAGACATAGCAAATCCAGAAACATTTGTGCTAAGATGAGAAACAGTAATTCACGAAACTTAAAAGTGTTTTGATCACAGTAGCCCCAGTTTGAGGTTTTGTCATTTTTGTAGGAGGAGGATGAAATGGATTCTGGCACGATGGTCCGAGCAGCAGGTGATGAGATGGGGACCGTCCGAGTAGCCAACACCATGAGTGATGGAGCCAATACCATGATTGAGCACGATGACACATTGCCATCACAGCTGGGCACCATGGTGATCAATGCAGAGGATGAGGAAGAGGAAGGGACTATGAAAAGTAAGGCTCTGATGAAATAGACATACCCATTCCAGAAAAGATGGTTTCTCATGGTCCATGAAGGCTGAGTCTTGAGTCTACCTTTACGTTGCCTCAACCAAAGGAAGCTTTACATTGGAGGGCTGAGTGGGAGAAGGCTGGCAAGTGGCGTAAGAGGCAAGCAGGCTTTAACAGGAAAGGATTTTGCTTTTGAACCCAAACAACTATTCTCTCTGAATGTTGTCCTATATATTGTACATGTCTTCAGTTCATTTTCAAGGTAGTTTGGTATCTAGCCAAGGCTTACCAGCACTTCAGTAGTCACAAGGATGGCTATACAAGTTTAAAATTCTTTTTCTTTAAATTTATTGTGAAAATACTGTACAGAGGGGTTACAATTACATGGGCAAGATAATGAGTACATTTCTCATCAAGCATTGTAGCCTCCTCCTTTGTTTTCCCTTCCCATCCTTGCCCCCCCATCCTCTCCCCCCACCATAAGTTTAAAATTCTATCAAGTCTCTTTAGTATCCATTTTGAGTCTTTCCTTTCTTGCTGAGATGGTGATCTCTGTCCCCTAAAGTCACTGAACTCCTGGGCTCAAGTGACCCTCCTAATCCCAGCTCCTAGAGCTGGGATTGCAGGGCCCCATTACCATGCCTCATTCTTTGCTTCTTTTCATTATCTGGCTGATCTTTTTTGCCTCATGCCTTGTGCCTAGCTTTCATCATAAGGTAACACTCGCCTCTCCTTTTCAGCTATTGACCTTCCCTTTATTTTAAACATTACACACCAATTCTCAGAGGAAAGGAATTGGGGAATACAAAATGATAATAGTCTAGTTGTAAGGTACAATTTAGCTAAACATAGGTTTAAAGCATGAAGTCTTTCATCCTCTTTTTTGTTGTTAATCTTTTTTTTTTTTTTTAGCATTGCTAAGCATCTAACCCCAGGGAGTTGTGTAGACTAGACAATTATTCTATCACTGAGCTACATCTCCCCCTCCTGCCTTTTTTTAAATTTGTTTGTTTTGTTTTATTTTGAAAAACAACATTATACCTTCCTCTTAACCAGGGATCAGCAAACTGTGGTCCTTGGCCAAATCTGGCCTGGTGCCTGCTATTGGTAATAGACTTTTATTGGAACATATGCATGGCCATTCACTTATGTGCTGTTGTGTATGGCTTTTTTGTGTGCTAAATAGGCAGAATTAAGTAGTTGTAAGAGGGACCATCTAGCCCACAAGGCTAGTGGTTCTCTGGCTCCTGACAGACAGCAAGAGGTTGCTGTCTTAGTCATAGATCCTTTGTGATTTGTTTATTCAGTAAATTTTTCTTCAGTGCCTACTGTTTCTGAAGGACTTTGCTAGACGCTGAGGACAATAGAGAATGAAGAAGCAGTCCTTTTCCTGAATGAACTGATTGTCTAGTCTAGGAAAAGACCACTAATTACAGTTCAGCATATGAAGTGAGTTCTAAAGGGGAGTAATCTGGGGGTGTTGTCAGAACAGAACTTAGGCAGGCCTCACTGAAAAATGTCTAGAGGAAAAACGCAGCAAGATTGGCAGCATACAGAGTAGGCAGAGGTGCTCTAGCATAGAGAGCAGTGTAGAGAAGATGTTGGGATGGGAAAGAGCTGGAGGAGGCCAGGGAACTTCACTGTGGCAGGCATAGACAGGGGCAGGGTTCTCAGGCTTTTCTCATTTCCAGCTTCTCAGGCAAGGTCTGTTTGTTTGTCAGCCTCTTATTTTCAAAGGGAAAATGTGTTTTTTTTTTCTTTTTGGGATCCAGGCTCATTATCTGGCTTCTGACTTAAATTTTATAGATGGTGAAGTAGTGGTAGCAATACTGGTAGATGCTTAAATTAGTAAGCCTTTTTTAGAATGTTTCAAGAGTTTGAAAAATTCAAACCTTTGAATCAGTAAATTCTATTGCTAGGAATCTGGTCCAAGAAAATAATTGTATATATATTGAATACATACATACATACATACACAGAGAAGTTATATTTAAGAATATTTCCAAGTACAGTGCTTATAATTTAAAAAACTAGATTAATTATTTAGTAGCAGATGATTGGTCAGATTAATTTTGGTATATCTACAGGATGAAATACTATGCATAGGAAAACATTTAAAAAATCTTGTTTTTGAGGAAGTAGTTCAGCAAAAATTAATAGCATGATTACAGTTTTATAAATATTAAAAAAATATAATAAGTACTGAAAAGAGAAAAAAAGGAAAAAAAAACCTGGAGGGAAAGAAAGCAAATATTAAAGTGTTTATCCCTGACTGCTGATGTTGTCTTGAATAGAATCTGAGAGAAGGTTGAAATCTCAACTAAAATCTAAAGGACAAGTGGAGATTACCAATTGTGCCTGTCTAGAAATTGCTCCCTTTTTTATTTCATTTATTTATTTATTGTGGAACACGTGCAGAACAGAATAGCCTATTACCTGAATATTTATTTTGCTCTTTTAAAAGATTTGGTTTTACTGATTAGATTTAACATACTGATTTCTTTTAAGTGCACACCACATAATCTAAGAAGAATATGAATGACTCATGACTTTACTAATAAAAGTTTAAGATTCCCCAATGCCTCTTTCTAGTTGCATTAATCGTGAGTTTGGAGTATAATTTTTCCTGCTGTTTTGTGTCTGTATTTTTGCAACATTTCTATATATTTACAAATAATACTGGATGCTGTTTGGTCTTCAGAAGATGTTGTTGTGTGGCATATCTCTTAACAGCTTGCTGAAATGGAGGTTTTTTTGGATGACATTTCTGCACTTTCTCTTTCTCTGTAAAGGAACAGCTTCGGAGAGTGTGTTCCTTCTTCGTAGTTCCATGGCTAGTAGTGATAGAGTTAGATTATTCCTTCCTCATGCTCCAATGTCTAGTCAGCGGTAGAGACTGTACTATTGTCATTCTGCCCAATGTCTGATTTGTTTTGGTTGCCTGTGCTTCCAGGCACTGAATTCATAATATAAAACTTTGGGAAACTAATAGTAAAACTTGTGCTGTCTTCTGATTAGATTCTAGGGATGCCTTTTGTTTGTGCATGTGTTTTCAAGGTATTATTATTATACTCAATAGGATGGGAGTTAACACTATTAATAGTAATTCATGAGTAGACACAGTATATACCAGTCACTGTGTTTAATCTTTTATAGACATTACACGTTATTTTAATCATCATAGCCATGCAGTGTGGTAAATATATATTATCAGTTGAAACTGAGTTACAGAGAGATTAAGTAGCTTGCTTCTGATTACATAATATATAATAGAAAAGCCAAGATTTGAACCCAGATATGCCTGATAGCATAATTTGTACTCTTAACCATTAAATTATGTTGCTTCAGCTGAGCTCATTTTGTTGATTGTCCACACTAAGGCTCATGATATGGTCTCAGCCTGTAGTGATCTGCCTCTCCTTGCTGGTTTCAGTAATTAGCTCCTCTACATGCTCTTAGGATTTCCAGAAGGAAATAATAGATGGTGTCCAAAGAGGACATGCCTCTGATAGATGATGATATTGTTATATCTGAGAGCTATGTTTCACATACACATGCATACACACACACACACGCACATGCACACACGCACAGGCACACACACACACACACACAGACAAAATTGCTTTATCAAGAACACTTGTTAAGAAAAATGCAAATCTTGGTCCACGCTACTTACTTCTGTCCCTGCTCTCTTGTGCTTAAAATTGAGCTCAGGGCCTAATACACGTTAGCAAGCATTCAGATATGCTTTTTCTTTTTTTCCTTTTTGAATAAAATATCTAGGAAAACCTTGTTTGTCCCCAAGAACTGAGCAGCAAATTATCCTATTGGAAGTGATCCTGATAGGTTGTTAGTTGGGAATCACTGTTTTTTCTCTGGCCAGCAGAGGGAGCTCTGCAATAGGTTATGAGATAAATTCTATCCCAATTCACAAAGGCCCTTTTTCTTGGTAAAGACCATTATTTATTTATCTTTAAATAAATTTTAAATAAACATAGCAACACTAGATCAGTGTCTTTATTTAGTTAGGATATTGGATGCCTCGTACTTGTCAAAATTCAAGGAAGACTGATGTCAGGAAAACATCTCAACATAGTAACTTTTCCTTTCCCATATTTCTTAGTAGACCTTAACCAGAATTGGTGTTTTCTTTCTACAACATGCTACTTTGAATATAGCTTTGGAGCTTTCATTAGTTTAAATAGCCCTAACCAAGAAATTTTTGTTTTTGTTTTTGCCAGTCCTGGGGCTTGAACTCCGGGCTTAGACACTATCCCTGAGCCCCATTATACTCAAGGCTACCACTCTACCACTTGAGCCACAGCACTACTTTTGTTTTTTCTGTTTATGTGGTACTGAGGAATCAAACCCAGAGCTTGATGCATACTAGGCAAACACTGTACCACTAAGCCACATTCCCAGCCCCCTAACCAAGAAATTTAACAAAATAAAAAGTAAAAATAATAATTCTTGGGTAGAATTGATTTGGGGGAATGTTACTTTATGTGTAAAAATAAGGAAAATTTTATACCTTTTTTTTTTTTTTGGCCTGCTGTATTTTCAGGGGAGTGCATGGCATTATGCATGTTACCCTAACATTTAGCTATACCTTTAGATCTAATTTTACTTATTTGATTTGATTTTACCAGTACCAGGGTTTGAACTCAGGCCCTCACACTTGCTTTTCAGAGGAAGTGACAGGAGGAAGGATGACAGTCACAATAGTCAAGTACCCATTTACAAAGTCTTGCTATGCCATGGTCCTCTGTCTGTGAGGCTTAGTGACTATAATGCCATGATCCTTCCAGTCTACCACATGTCTAAGCATGGCAGATCAGCTGTTTTTCCCTGATCCTTCCAGGCTTGTTAAGCTAATGGAGGCAAGAGGTAGATGACACATACAAAGTTCTTTCCCCAGACTTGAGCCTTTCTAGTTAGAGTTTTGTGAACTGCAAGGAGTAAGTGATTTGTCTTTAAAACTTGCATTTAAGGGCTGGGATATAGCTCAGTGGCAAAG